GTCGAGCTCAACTCTGTTTCAAAACAGGCCTTCGATGAGGCAGCCCTTCTCAGTTCGCCTGAAGGGTCTAGCTGAGGACACTGGAGTGTCACTCGAACACAGTTTAATGGCTCCTGTAGCATACCCGCCACCGTGGCAGTGGCAGACTATAGATTGCGATGTGTCTTTCCTAGAAGTTACAAAACATGCACCTATTGCCCATATCCGAACATACTTTTTGGAACTTCAACACAAATACACACGTCCTGAGTTCTTCACAGATGCCTCCAAGACTAACTCCTCTGTGTCCTACGCTGCTGTCGGCCCATCCTTTTCGGATGCTGGCCCTCTACATCCACGCACAAGTATCTTCACAGCGGAAGCTTACGCGATACTTGTGGCAGCTAAACACATAAAACAATTACAAATACAAAAAGCAGTAATTTATACAGACTCCCTCAGTGTAGTAACGGCTCTGCACACTCTTAAAAAACACAAAAACCCAGTCCTTGTCTCACTTTACTCCACTTTATGCACACTCTACACACTCAAACAACATGTTGTAGTGTGCTGGGTGCCAGGGCACCGTGAGATTCAAGGCAACGTGAGGGCGGATCAGCTCGCTGCATCCATCCATGAGAGCACCGCCATTACATCCATATCAATCCCGACCCTTGATCTTAAGCCGTCTCTCAAACGAAACCTCCGGAACTACTGGCAGAGCAAGTGGGATACACACACACAAAACAAACTACACGTTATTAAGCCACACCTTGGTCATTGGCTGCCTGTATCGAAATCGCGTCATACAGAGGTAATACTAACGAGACTCAGGATAGGACACACATACACGACACACACATATCTTTTGTCTGGTGGCGATCCACCATTGTGTGACAGATGTGGTGAACCATTAACCGTCCTTCACGTGTTAATCCAGTGTAAACACTTAGAAACTATAAGAAAACAACATTTTACATTACCCTACCGACAACATATACCTTTACACCCTGCAATGTTCGTTGGTAGGGAACCGCTTTTTAGTCATAAATCATTGTTAGCGTTTTTAAAAGAAATTAATAATTTTCATATCATACACCCGGGCATTCCGTAGCACGACCTCTCTAGAGAGTTTTTTGCTGCGGCGGTTACACAAGAAAGCACTTGCCTCACGGCCCTTGGACGCAAGGGTATGAACGAGTGAGGCACTTGTGCTAATGCCATTCATATCCACCATTGTTTTTTATAATCACCAACTCTTGTCATCTATCCTCACCACACACACCTTTCACGGCATGGTCATGATTTTATTACTTGTATGTTTTTACCCGCCTTACCGCGAGGAATTTTATGGCCTTTATACAGCCGCTTATCACAATCATTGTTCATATTCTTAGTAACATGAACTGGCGCTCTTTGGCCGTGAAATGGCCCTTGCGCCACAAAACTTCGAACATCATCATCAAAACACGCAGCATAAATATGTTTACACTGAATAGTGGAGAGAAGTCTACAGCCATCAGGTGAATAAAACACTTGCAGGGCTCACGGTACGGTATTTTAACAGTGGTGTATTAAGCTAGCAAGCTCCGCCGCTTTTCCATTTCAAATGGTTGTCTCGGAAAGCCTGTGCCCAATCTCGAAATGTACAGCGGTTGACTATTTGCTGTAGCTTCAGTTTACTAACGCACTTCCTTTTCGTATGAGTCCAGCCATTACGTTTCTCCCCGTTAATAGTTGGTAATACTGTGCGCGCCAAAAAATTCTTCGAAGTGACAAGACCGGGGAAGTATCTACAAACTGCCATAATCCACTGACTCCTTTTCTCCTCGCACTGCTTGCATTAGAAAGGGTAGAACTTCACGGGCAGTTTGAAGCTCTGCGACATTTTTTAAACTTTCGTAGCAGCTCACAATGCAGCTGGAGTGTGTGCCTGCTTTACAGGATGATGAACGAGCGGCACCGATAGCGTGCAAAATGTTAGATAAAAACCCAAGGAACACGTTTTTCGTGCGTGCAATGGGAAAACCAAGCAAGCATGGCCCGTCGCAGCGACCGGAGCTTTGCCCTCTCTCAGCTTTGGCAGCGAACGGCGCTGCAAAAACTTGAGCCTGTCTTCCCCATATGTGCATATGTGGGCTAATGGCCATACTTGTGTACCGGGGGACTTAGATTTGAAATGGACAGTCAGATGTGTGGGCCCTTCATTATTGAGAATCTTTAGTCAGTGAGACTGATGATGACTCACCAAACCCCATGGAGGCAGGTAAACGAAGCGTAGTTTTAGAATTAATTGAAAAAAATCAGGGACTGAGACAGGTAGAACTCTCACTGGACAACATCTAGTGCTTATGTTTTTATGTTTGGAACTTCCTTTGTCAAGAGCTCTGTGCCTTTTAGCATTACAGGGACACTAAAGTCAAATAAGAATTTATGTAAGAGTGAAAGCTCAATGTGTGACAATGTCTAAAATGACAATATTATCAACAGCAGTGCCCTACTTACCAAGAAATTAACGTATATGCACAACAACACATGCGTCATGAGTGGGACATTCGCAGAATGATCCCAATGACATCAGACATACCGCTTACAATTAACCACTAGTAATCTAACTAGCTGCACTAAATAAACCTTCCATGCATCAACAGACACAATAAAATGCTGCTTGTTTGTTTTTTTGTTTTTTTCTGTTTGATTCATGGAAAAAAGAACCGTCGGACATACTATGGGGAAAGGCGCGAGTGGTTCAAAAGCTCTATTTTCGCCTTGTTAAACCTAAAGTAACTGTATATGCTCCCTACGGGAAAATTAGCGCATAGGTCCACCATCTTGCATGGTTAGCAACTATAGTTATGCGGCAAAGCCACGCTCTGTTTTTGCAGGCGACTTGCTTAAAGCCTGTTACCGATCAACAAAGCGTGTTACTGATCACCAGTCGACGTGCCTGGCGTGCCAATGACTGGTGCAGAAACAAGAAAGATCTGCTTTCGGGACTGTTTCATGGGAGTCCAAAAGCATTTCTTTAGTCTGTCCGGAAATGCAAAGCGCCAAGGTGTAGTAGCGTAGTGCCAAATAACATGCACGGCTCCTGCCGCATGGTCAAGTGGCGGCCGCTATGGAAGATAAGCAAGAACTCACAAACACAAAATATACATCCTAAAAGATTCTAGAAGCATCCCACTATTTCTGTATGTTTTTCTAAAATGGTGCCGAATCCACACAAGTACTTTGCTGTCAAAGCTTAAGGACATGAATATGAAGCAAATAAGAGCACCCGTTCGCAGCCAATGAGCTACCGAGCGCACGACAGTCACTTGATAGATTCCTGGTGGACGGCGACTGCTTTCGGCAATGCGGCCTGTGCACTCGCATTTCCGCAGTGTATGGTTGCTAGCGGAGTGGAAAAACAGATGTGCTATTCTACTACCTAAAGGTAGCATATACAGTTACTCTGGTTAAACCTAGAGTGCCTCGATGCTGGCTCCTCCGTTCAGAGTGAAGACATCTGTGTCGTCTGTTACGGCAGCCGCCACTATCACTCCCGCTGTATACCGGTTTCGCTGGGTCAGGAAGTGGCTTACTAGCTTAACGTGAATGGTTGTTGCACTGAGGAACACGACATCCAGGCATACCTGGCCGAAGAAAGTGGCACGTGAGCCCACAGCTGGGCGAAGATGCTGCAGGCACTACAATGGTGGAGAAAACAGTACAAAAGGCGGCAGCACCCTGAGCAGAAGCACGTGCATCGAGGCACCCTAGTTAAACCGGACAGGTCGTGCCATCTAGCAAGGCCCAGTTGAACCAAGCATGCCTACCATCTCTGAGGTCATGGCTAAAAATTGTCCAGTGGCCGTTGTTGCTGTGGCTCCTGCTACTTTCACTCTGCTGTTACTAGTGTTTGCGGCCGTGCAGTAAAGCTGGGCAACATTGTGCACGGCAACAGTGACGTGAGGCAGCCACTTTCAGGCGATAGATTTGAACTGTGCTAACGCGATGCGGACCACTAAAACCTGATTTTATTTCAAAATAAGCACTTCCTTGGTACAAAAGTAGCACTAGTACCAGGTTTCTGGACTGCTATTTCAGCAATCAACATCGACTTACTATTCACCTTTAGTGTCCCTTTAAGACATGGCTGCTGGCATCAAGCAGTGTGTTTACAAATGCTCCTGTACACATTTGCTGCACTACTCAGCCATACTGCATTATTTCTTTATTTGCTATAAATTCTGGATGTGCCTACTAAGAAGTACTAATTTCTGGTCATTTGGTGTCTGAAAGTAAGTTTTAAACACTTCTTTTATTGTTTGAAACCACTATGGGTTGGTTGCATCAGATAGTTGCCAGTTTATTACGTTAGTTGCAGGTTTATGTACATACACTAGCGCAGTTGAAGCAGAACGCAGGTTCACATTCAGTCCAGTCTTTTCAGACAGTGATTATCTTCCTAGCAGATTTATTTAAATTTTTATCTCTCAATGCTTGTGTCAGGGTTTATTATTTATTACATGAATTGCATAATGCAACAACAGATAGACTCGGATTATCTTTTTGACTGATTTGTTTCTTTAATTTCTACCTCTAAATCCATTGTAGCATCAAGGGTTACGTACAGGAATTACAAAAGTAAGAATATTTAGACTTGGATTTCTTTTTTTTTTGTAATGATTCCACTTCAGGGGATATTGATTTTTGATGATGCTTATGCATATTTGAAGCTGGTGAAATTCTAATGGTTCATGTGCATGATGAATTCAGCTTGGTTTCCTGTGCATATTAAGTCATAAACTTGGGTCAGCCGGGCACGTTGACAGAGTACTGCTTTTTCTGTGATTAGCTGGGCTCGAATCTACCAAGTGCATTGCATGAATGTTTTTTTTTAATGCAGAATAATAAAGCTGTAGAATTAGTTAATTGTATACTGCATTGCTGTGTTATGACTGTTGTGTTTACTGATGTAAAAGATGGTATGTTGATTAAACTTGAACTGCCTCTTTGTTCCCCCCTCTTTTTAACAGGCAGTTTTTACACCATATGACATGGCAATGTCGAAGTGCTATATACCCAAGGAGACAACTGTGATCTTTTTGTACATCGCATCAGTGGTTGTGCTGGTTCTTCTGTCACTACGGGGTCGGAGAAGAATTTGGTAAAATAAACTTTGTCCCTTCTCAGTATTGCAGTGCTTATCATTTGCATTAATTTCAAGTTTTTTTTGTCCTTTTCAAGGTGTGTATTATGCAGACACTTTATTTTATGTAAAGTAAAAGTAGAAGGCACATGGCGAGTGAGAAGCGTACATGTTTGCTGAGTGCTGACTCATTTTTCATAACATTTATTTATTTAGGGCAGCGAGCATACAAGCTATGATATCTATGGGTCTGTGTGTTACTTACTCTTTCAGTCTTCTTTTGTATGACTCGTTGATTAAGGAAACATCAGTTGGTTACATGATCCAACATTTGAGGTTGTTTTGCATCAAAGCTAATCAATACAGCAATGAGGTCAGGAAGGAAAAGGGTGAAGGAGAAAAGACAAAATCAAAGGCTGGCAAAAATGAAAGCGACAGCAGCAACAGGATAAAAAGGCTTAAGAGAGAAAAGATGTGTGTACGATAACAAAAGGAAACATTGAAACATTTCTGGGCAATTTAAGATTGCTAAAATGATGCTGCACTTATCTAAACACAAGTAAAAGGGTGAACACCATGAAAAAAAGGGACAAGAGAGCCTCTGCACTTTGCCATCTTCTAAGAGCTAAGTTGTTTGCATGTTGATCAGATTATCATTGATGTATTTACTTGAATGAATACAACTTAGCACAGAAATCTGGAGCCTGCTCTTCTCATTGTTTCATTTACACTTTGTCATGAGCTCTCCTCAAGCCCTGCTAGAGTGGCTAGCCATGCTGCTTTTCACTTTGTGATTGTCACTTCATTGGCATTCCACTATCAAAGCCATTCTTCCTCAGGGTGCCAGCTCTTGATCCTAGTGCTGCATAAGCACACGAACCCTACACAAACACGCCATGTGTTGTTTTATGGTTCATGCATTGCAAGTGCTCTTCAGGCATTTATATGTGGCAAGCAACTGAGCTGTTGCAACAAAGGCTCATTGTTATCAGCTGCGACACTCTATTAGCACTTATTGCTTCAGTTGGCTTGGTCATTTTGGGCCATATTGGCAAAATGTATGCACTTTTTTCTGCCCTCTTACCCAATTCTGGCCGTCAAGAATGACCCTGTTTACAGGACTGATAGCTTTAGCTCATGGTTTGTCTTGAAGATAAAATTTTGAATCGTGGTAAACACTGCATATTTAAAGTCACTCAAAGTGTACTCGCTGTAAAAAGCACATTTCTCTTCCACCATCCCTTTCAACAATTTTTTTTTTGGCAGAAGTGATAGCCCTTGCACATTGTGGCAAGATGAGAACAGTGTTGATTTACATACTGCAATGAATTTTTCAGAGATTCTATCAAGTTTCTTCTGGTGCCATAAAATGTGTCTGCATTGATCCATAAAGAAATAATGGCATATGTGCAAAATATAAATTACCTATGTTTATTCATCAGCTGTGGCACAACAGCTATTCACTGTCTGCTATGTGCTGGTACTCCAACTTACAAAAGTCTTTCCAAATGTTTCAACTCGTTGTCGGCATATTACTTTGTTGGCTGTGTTTGCTTTAGTCTCAAAGCTGCCACGTACCAATATTTGATTACATTCTTTGTTAAGTCTTTAGTATCAAATACTGCTTATGAAGTTCATTGAAGAGAGCACAGACAGCAGTATCAACATGCAGGTGACGTCATTGTGTGCGCATGCGTCATGCATGTCTGACAAGAATGAGGTAATGAATGCACGCATTGAGAAATAGTACACGTTTATTGGTTTTATGTCACAGTGTTTCTGCTCCATGTTGTCAACAGGTGCCTAGAAAATGCTTAGATCTTGACATGATAAACAGACTGCATGCCTGAAATTTCCGCATATATTCATAATTGGAAAAGACGGCATATCTACGAACACTATTCACAAAATATATATTTTACAAATGCATCCATTGTCGCTGACTGGGTTGCGGCAAAAGGACATTTTTTGTTCCAATATCACCGCATGACCCCGTCAATAATTAATTAAAAAGAAAGTATGTACAGAACACAGTCATTTCAATTTTGTGTATTTTTCTTTTCTTATACTAGGCCATGCGTAGTAATTTGAAAACTTGGAAGAATTCTGTTTGTTGAAGGCTCTGCGTCGACCATGCTGCAGTAACAAAAGGCACCATATCATAAATTGTCTGTTTCTTCTAATAGTGCATTAAACAACAGAAGTTCTGTCATGCATCAACTAAATGATTAGAGCGTCTCTTCATTCCTTATTTCTCTCTTTTGCGTATGGGCAGAAAGAATTGTTATAGAATGCAACATTGTACGAAACAGACCACAAGATAATGTACCATAGTGCAATCGGAGCATGGTGGTCGTAGGGACTTGAGCAAACGCTTCTTTCACAACAGACCCAGCATCTTATGTACTTTATGTTGTGTGCTATCGTTAACATCGTAGTGCTTAAATACTACTTGCACCTACGTGTGTACATCACATTACTTCTGCAGGTGCTGAGAGAGCTGCTCCTCACGCACACATTTGCACTCATAGACACTGCCTTAGTGATAAATCAATTCTTGGTTTCCCTTCTCGACGGTGTCCTATGTGGGATAAATGATGCACTCATAGCCAGCGATTGAAGGCAGTGATTGACTCCCTGCTATCAGTAGACTTAGACTTTTATTAGTCCACACACCAAAAAGAGAAGCCCTGTGGATGATGGGCAAGTGCACCTTTAATTGTGATAGCCATTTTTTTTTTTTTTCATTTTATATCTGATAGCCATCACTTATCATGCTTAAGTACAGCTTACTGAGAGAAAACACACTTTTTTCTGGCACACTGTGATCGTAGTATCTGTATATTGTGCAATAAATAGGCATTTTGATTTTTCTGGGGTGCTTTTTTTGTACCCTTACAGCTAACGCCAGCCATTATGGCTTTTCATGGTATCCAGCAATGTGTCAGTGCAATGGAATATAACAAACATTATTGGATCACTAGTGATAACGTGTGGATGCATGCTGGAACAGCATTTTTGAGAGGTTCTCTTTAATCCAGCATACGACGTTGACTAGTGAAAAGAAAGACTGTGTATGCTGAATAATATATTAAGCTTGACAGCTAGCAAACGTAAAAAGGGCTACTTTAATATGTTTAATAGCTGGAATGTTCACTGCTTAAGCTAGTTTTTTTGCCGTTGGTGCAATGTGGGTTAAGCTGAAATGTGATTCGTACTGCTTTTTGGTCAGAGTGTTTCAATTATACTGCAGCACGCTTCATGGAGCAAGAAGTAAGGTTCTCTCTGCCTTATATCGCTTCTGGTTTTTTTTTTTTTTTTTGCCGTACATGGTTTGTTAAGGCAAATAAATAATTGTTGAGAGTGGGTAGTTTGATATTTTAAAACCTAATCGACTGTGACCCAACATACCAGTCGCACCTACTCAGTCACAAAGAAGTAAGGTTATGTCATCATACAATGAGTTAAAGATAGTTGAAGGAATGCCATAAAGTTTTTAAACAGTTTATAAGAATGCAACGTATACTAATGCCATTAGTACATTGCTGCCAAGTGGACGGTTTTTCTTCGAAATTGATTTTTGTGCAATTTTCTGTGAAAACAGCAACAACGAATAAGAAAGACTTGTATGTGCCAAAGATGCCTTCTCATAAGAACTTTTAAGGCCACATTGGGTACCACCAGCACTTGGCAGCTTTTCGAAATGGAGCTTAATTTTTACCTTGCAAGCTCAGCTGTAGAAACTTACTCTTTGCAAGACCTTGATAGGGGTAAAGGTTCATAATAGCTGCTTAGACTTACTGTTTCAGTTAAACAATCCTTTTTGTTTCATACGAGTGCACCTAAAGTAACATTTGGATAGCTTAATTTCATGTTTTCCTAATTTTCTATGTGAGAATTTCGAATTGACAAAACAAAGGTGAAGGGTTGATGTTCACCTTTGTTGGTCAAGCATAATAACAGGTATGAAGTGCTTGAAAATATGACAAAAAAAAAAGTGGGACACAGCACGAGCACCCAACTTGAGTTTGCCTTCTTGTGTTTTCAAGCATTATGTACCTGTTGCAATAAGATGTGGGTAAAGGTTACTAACATGATGGGGGCTAAGAGAGTTCTAACCTTAAAATCAATTCTTAAGCTTTATAATTCTTGCAAATCTGTTGCAACTTATTGACTCCCCACCAAGGTACTTTAATGGCTATGTGCTGCTGAGCTCAAGGTCATGGTTTCAATCCTGGTCATTGACAGTCACATTTTTATGACTGAAAAATGCAAAAACACTTCTGTACTCAGGATTTAGGTGTACATTAAAGGGTCATTTAAGAGAAAAAAAGTGACCTGGTTTGTAATAATAAGTTACCTTTATAGGCTACCAAAAATGTCACCATCGCCATTAAAAGATGGTTGGCAAACAGGAAAGGGCATAAGAAGGAGCAGCTGATGGTGACTCTGGCGATGTTAGATTTTGAGGGCATCCAGTGGAGTCTACAATACTGTATTGACAAAAACTGATTGCATTGTGTTCTGGGACAGACACTTTGCATGGTAAATGTCAGAAGCTTTTACTGAGCCAGTGTGGACATAGTAATAAAGCTTGGTTTGAAATTTTTGACATCATAATGACATGCTGGCACTGTAGTTTCAGCCTGAAATGAAACATTAATTTTCATGTCCTCTCCTAATAAACCTGTGATTGAGAAAATAATTACAGTATAAATTGAAAGATTGATTGATCAGTTAAAACTGACTTCATATTTCTCTTAAGTGTTGCTGGAAGCCTAGGTGCTCAGAATTATTTTAGTCTCTTACGATGGCGCAGCTCTTAGTCATATTGCCGCTTTCGCATGTGAAACACCAGACTTCAGTTAATGTGTTTGTGTCTAATCAAGAACAGCAGCCATCCACATGGCAGAGTGAAAGCTGAAGGGCATGCTCATCTCAAGTTGCTCATCTTCGCACAACCCTCTTATTCCACCTGTGTCGTTCGCAATCAGATTTGTGGCACATCATGGGAATGCCTCCTCATTCCTGATTGGGTGAGAGGTCCAGTTGCAGATTTAGTGAGGTAAAATCAATCTCAAAATTTAGCTTTTGTTAATCGGAAGCACTTTAGTAGTTGCTGTAGAGGTTCCTGCCCCACGGGTCACGCATTTAAGATTTACGTGACCGTGACTGTATAATATAGAATTTTTTTGTGCAACGCTCCATGAAATGCTGATTTTATGAACAATAATAAAAGTAAACTAGATTGTTGGTGGCACACAAGTGAGGTGAGGACACTGCCAAAGCCAAATTACGTGAGCTTGTATGCTGAAAGAAAAATACAGCATCATTTGGGTCTCTAGGTCCAGCCCTCCTCATCATCTATGCTGTTCTCACTTTGATTTATGATGGTGAATGTTTGTATGTGAACACTTGCATGCAGTGGAAAGCGCAGTGTCTCACACTTATGGGAAATCTCTGAACACATGAATCACGGTGTGGCCAGCGTTTCAGTTGTGCACCTACAGCACCTCGCGCGTGAATGGGAATTTGAGGAGCGTAGTGACTGCAGCGCTGGCCGCACCATGTGCCATGCGCTCTGAGATTTCCCGTAAGCGTGAGACAGACTGTACATGCGAATCAGTGTGGACCAGAAGTAGTGGTCGACAATTGTAGCAGCAATATGTGTTGAGACCTGCCTCTGGAGATACAAACTTCGCAGAGGCAAGCTATGTAGAAAGAAACCTTCACTCCACTGCATTGCTTGTAGAAGCATTTACTGCTGTGAGGAATGTATTTGGCAATACCAGATGTATCACATGCAAGGAATCAGAATTTGCTATGTTTAAAAGATATTGTATATACTGTAGTTTTCATTAAAATATCTTAACGATTAAATGAAAACTAGCTGATATGTAAGCCTCCATTCATTGCTAATGTAAACTAGGGTCGAAAGGGTGGTCGCTGGGCTATAATATAAACATATAGGGAGTTTTGACATCTTCACCTAGTAAAAGCCAGGTACGTAAGGAAAAGATAAGATTCAAAGAGTTGATGCTTTTTGAAGGTTATGTCATACGTCTTGTAAATATCTGACTTCATTGTCGTCACTATCAACATATAAGAATGCAAAAGTGAAATACTGATAATACAAGTCAAGTGTATTCAATACTGCCTCCTATGCATCAGCAGGTGAGGTGCAAAAATGTTCACTGGAATAAATATCAAGATGCTGGCGCAGCTGTCCTGATCTCATTTATGTAAAATTCACAACTTTTGAAGAGGTAAGGTAATGCACGACAGCCATGACCGGAAATGTATATTGACTGTGCATGCAAAAGGTCGAAACTTGGAAATAGACTTGAGAGCAATGCATCTGTGTTTTCAGATAGAATATGCAGGAACATTGTCAGAATAAACTCTACAGCAGGATGGGGCACAAAGAAAGAGCACTCATTTTTGTCATTTCTTTGTGTGCCATCTCGTTGCGCAGTTTATTCTGAAGATGTTCCCGTACCAACTCGCCCAACTTTCAACGCTTGTTAGAAGGTGCAGTAATATCTCACATTGGCCACAGCAGTAAAGTGTGAGTTGATTAAGAAAAGGAAAAACTTTTGTCATCACAAAGTGCAATCTAAGTGCCACATGAGCTGATGATTATAGTCCACCCGTAATGACAGTGCCAAGCTGCCAAGAGCCATGGCATACAAACACGCCATTATTTTGTGCAGAGTAGACAATGGGCTTTGCGCACAAGTGACAGTGAGAAAATCCAGCTCATTCCATACATGAGGAGGCCAGATTATCGATATCAACATTCTCAGAAGTGGTGCAGATTCGGCATCGCAGCATAGCGACTCGCTGACCTGCTAACTAGTAGACGCTTCCGACATTGTACCATCGTCAAGGGCAATATGCAGTTCAGGAGTTCGTAGTCCCTCAACTGTACAAATGCGGAACTGTTAGTTGATTGCACTGCCCACGTATTGGCGCACACCAGGCACACTGAATTGCTGTCACAGCAGCATTCACACTTGTGGTGCGGCTGTGTCGTATTCGACCGGGCTGCCTTCCCGCGGTCCCGCGGAGGCGCTGAGGAGCCTCGGATGGAAGTAGGGGTGGAACTTGAGGCCAGGATAGGCGGCGGCCGCCGCGGTGGCGCGTGGTGGGTACAGTGGCGGTCCAGGTGAGCTGGCACTGGGGGCCGCACGACCTGCTGCTGTCGGCGACGTTGGTGGTGGTGGGCACGGGGAACGCGCTGGCGGCACGGGCGCTGCCGCTGCTGTACCAGCTACCGCAAAGGGAGGGAACAGCGTGCGCGGGAAGCCCAGGTAGAGGCCAGGTATTGAGTGCATCTGCTGCTGCTGGGCGCTCATAAGTGCTGTCAAGTCAGCCATGGCCATGGGCACAGTAGGTACTTTCCAGGGGGACGCGCCATTGGCCAGCAACAGGAGCTCGCTTCCCGTTGGCAGCCGTCCCAAGGCTGCAAAGCACGCACACTGAGCACCACGTGATACGGAGCCCTGTTTACTAGCTCAAGCGGCTACATAATTCTACAGTGGCTCACGTCTTACAGATGGACTTTCTATATTTAATGTAATGCTGGCTAAATAAACCACGGGTATTTTACTGAAGTAGAAGAAACCAGGGTACAAAAATTGCCTAGCTCCGGTCGTCTCCCAGCTTGACAGCGCACGTGCTGGGAGACTTAAAGCAACGCCTCCTTTATTTCAATTCCAGCGTAAACACGCGCTTCTTAATGGGAGCCGTCAGTCTGCCTTAATTCAGGGAGTGGTCATGTTGTGGCGCTATATGAGGGGTCGCACTAAAGCACCTTAAACTTTAGGTCACGCTAAAGCCCCTTGATCTTGGGAGGCTTTAGGCCGCGTTGCTCACATCACATTTGCGTCCGAGCACTTGTTCCCGAAAATGCCATAGACGTGTTTCCCACACCAATATCACATGTCTGTCAGATTCGCTCCTTCATGCTGCTTCTTTCTGGCTCGAGACAATGCCGCCGCCGCGTCACAGAGCAGCGCATGCAGAAACGTTGCAGTGACGCGGCTTCCCCATTGGTTGCTCGCATAGCGCCACCAACGGCGACACGCTATTGCTAAACACCCTAATTTCACAGAGCCAGCGTGACTGCCAATATTGTGAACACAAGAACTGCTAGACGCCGCCCCACCGATCTGTACACAATTGAATAAAAAATTACTTGATATGAGTTCCGTCATGAGGCACTGCATGACGGGCTACTCTCCCCCATGACCGCAGAACACACCCGAAGGCTAGGCGATGGGAGAGAGTGGGATGGGCTAGAGGAGAGGGTGATGAACAGCTGGATCGGGCGCATCTGGCTGGCATTGATAAAATAGAGGAGGTGTTGCTTAAAGCGACTAGAGTTAAATGATGAATTGGTTTAAGATTGATATACTCTATTCTGAAAATTCTAATTACGTTAATTTTCCTTTTACAAGTTTAGTAGGACAAAAAATCAAGGTAAATAATTCATTTTTAAATTTCGCACCAAAATCTTCGCGCATGACGTCCCTCATTTAAAAGTATTTTTCTGCATCTTGGCGACAGTTGCTCAAGGAATTGTCTTGAAACTTGATATGGTATATCTCTGGCGCCTTTAAGGAACATTGTGCTTCCTTTTTAGTGATCAGAAATTATGTAAGCCCAAGGGGACACAGTAAGAATATATGACGTCATGGTGATCGGTGCGGAAATTTCAAGGTAGTGCTGCTACCAGTATTTTCTTTTTGCGCGTTTTCTTGCTTACCAATCATCCTCGCGCGGCAAGCGTGATGATCTTGATATTGTGAAATGGTAGTTCTTCAATACGAAAAAAATTGTTTTGTTTGCGACTTTTTTACAGTGATTTGTAGCTTTGTGTGTGGTAATGCCGAAATTGAACAGTAAATTTTCTAACGCATTGTATAATTTATGCTAGCCTCGTTAATTCAGAAGGACTTTGCATCAGTTCGAAACACGCGCCTGTCTAGTGCCCTCCAGCAGGGCAGTGCTTGAGACTACGTGTCCTTAAGATTCAGTGATGCTGAACGTGCTGTTTTGAAAAAGGGGGACCCTCAGGTGGTAAAGTTGTGACATGATGTGGATGCTTTGAGCGTGTCCCTTTCAAAAAAAAAAGAAAAGCATTCCTGGTGTAAGCCGCCAAAACCACCTTGAGAGCGGCCCATAACAGAGCGAGAGGGGTGAGGAATAGCCCTCACCGGGTGCCAGTCGGGACTCGGGGCATTGTGCGCCCCCCCGAGAAAGTTTCTCCGACGCCAAAAATACTTGCTTCACTTCTACAACAAAATGATAACATAAGATGTGAGTCTGCGTAAGTAAGGCTGATAGTAATGCTGAAGAGTATAGAAGTCGGCAGAAGAAAGTGGAACTCACTCAGGCTCACTCAATATATCTGGCGCTTTCGACTCGGACTCAGACTAGCCAAAACTTTCTTGGGCCGAACTTACCCGGACTCACACTGACGAAAATTTTTCCAGTGTGCCTTGTTTGTCTATTCTTTTTCTCTTTTTAATTGTGGCAGTTTATATGAAGCTGACCCTCGTTATAACGGACACTGATATACCAAATTATGGCTGTAGGGAACTAAGTACGGGCTTTGCATCGGTAATGCTTCATTTCAGTGACATTTTCTCATTTTATAACAAAACGGTAAAAGCTAGAGCAACCTCGATATTGCCTGCAAATAACCAAGAAACATATAGTGCTCACGGAGCTCGCAAATTTGTTGTAATTTCACATGCTCATGTTCTGGTCTTCTTAGCTTGAAATGACACAAGGAGACAGTTTAAGACTGAGGCGTTTACAGTGGGCTTTCAACCTTGAATAACGCTTAAATATTGGCAGCGCAAACAAACAGGATGCAAAAGGAAGAGACAAATTAGCCTTTTGCGTCCCGTTAGCTTGCGCTGTCAATACTGTATTTCAGTATGAATCTATACCAGCTAGCCCGCCTTTCAAACCTTCTGCTAGAATAACCTGTTTGTGTATTTAGGATTTACATGTGAGCCAGATCATTGATTTGTTAGAGCTCATTTTTATCTCTTCTCTTACAATGACTATCGTATGCAGCGAACTGATTTATGGTCTCGAGGCTACTTCCCAATAGTGAGATTCGACTTTATATGTAGCGGTGCCTTTATAGTTACAATTTTTATTTTCAAGTGTGAGGTTAAACAATTAAGAGCTACAAGTTCGTCAACCGCATAGTTCTTATTTATAAACGCTGACGTTGTAGGCAAATGGGCAATACGTACCACCCGCGGTGGCGAAGAATTGATGCTCTGGTGGTAAATCCCCAGTCATGAAAGCCCTGAAGGGCGAGTGTCGAAAGGCATGCTCTCGAAGTAAGGTCTCCACAGATTCCCTGAGGGCGGGGGGGTAAGCAAAGAATAGTTAGAACTGAATTCATCCTGAGGGGCCAGCTACTGTGCAACATGTAAAAATAAAGCAGTGGTCTGCCTAAACGAAAAGGGATCACTGGTATGCATTGCTGGTGAACGTGTATCTTTTTTTCTTCCTACCTCTTTTTATTTTTTTATTTTTGAGACTGCCCTTGGGCGTAACGTGTTTACATGATACCACAAGCAACGTGTTTACATGATGCCACAAGCGGCCCCGTGCATGCGGACAAGAAAGGGATACCATGACACGCACATGCACTGTATATCTGAGAAAATCACTAAGAGGTTGCAATTACAATATCTGGAGTTTCACGTCCCAAAACCACGATATGATTATGAGGGACGCTGTAGTGGAGGGCTTGGGTAATTTAGACTAACTGGTGTTCTTTAGCGTGCACTGCGATTGCTCTGGCTTCGAGCTTTTTGCCTTCATGGAATTGCGGCCGCCGCAGCCGGGATTCGATCTCGCTACCTTCGGGTCAGTAGTCGAGCACCATAACCACGCAAAATTGTTGTAGATAAAGGCCATACCAAGAGTATCTCAAAATATTGGCGAAGTATCGATGCAGTGGCCAAGATTTCAGCAGTTTGTTGGAATTGAATGTCTTCTAGTTTTGCCCTGGAGTTTACCACAAACAAGCTTAATGATTTTGTGTCAACAAGAGCTCCAATTTTCATGCACGCTTCGTTAATCTTTACTTTTTTTTCTCTATTCCAACATTACACCCCAATATTGAAACCTACTGATTCCCCATGTTGATTATGGTACAATACCAATGATTTATGAATAGTTAAATGATTAAACATTTTTTTTTCATGTACTGAGTTAGCTTGTCACGAACTAAAAAGATTGCGGAGAAGAGTGCGGCGCGGCAGGCGTCACATTTAAATTTGAAATATTGGATTTGTGCCTCGTTGTAGGAGAGTTTTGAAAACTAGCTCAGGTGAAACATGTTCTCAAGATATTCAATGAAGAACGAGGGCTGGGAAAACAATAAAGACAGGAGGGAAAACACTGTCCTCAAAGGAGAAACATCATAGCAGTCAGGGAAGTGTCGGAGAGGTGGAGGGGAACTCAAGCGCAGTTATTTTTTCGTGTGACTCACCCTTCTAGATCCGTTAGCCTTGAAGAATCTCTAAAGCCCTTGGCGAATGGATTGCTGTCTATTTTAAGTTTGGTTATCTGAAAAAAAGAGAATACCCGGTAATTAAGAATCCATAAATTATATAAGTGGAGGCACAAGGATTTTTCGCCCACTTCAAGCTCTTTTACTCTTTAATACCAGCGAGCACACTGGAAGAAGGCGAAGGGTGATTACAAGATGACAGTTATAGCACGAGAACAGAATGATGCTCTGTGTCGTCGTTCTGTTCTCGTGCTATAACTATCATCATGTCATGTCTTACCAACTAGCCCAAGCTGCCACACTTCTAAGGTGATGACAAGCAGGGGCGGGCGTAGGCAGAATTTATTTTGTGGTGTGGGGAACCTTCTTGAATGGTAATTTTTCGCTCTGCATGTCATGATAAATAAATAAATGAATAATATATATATATATATATATATATATATATATATATATATATATATATATATATAAGGGAAACAAGTGTATACTTAAGGGCTCGGTTTTCGTGTTTATACAATATTAATGAGATCTAACAGACAATAATATTAAGGAAGGTATAGGGGAAGTTATTAGGCCAATTGTAATGTAAATGAGAAGAAAGAAAAGTGGGTGAAAAGATAACTTGCCGTGGGCAGGATCCAAACCTGCGACCTTCGAATAACGTGTTCGATGCTTTCTCTCTTTCTCTCTCTCTCTCTCTCTCTCTCTCTCTATATATATATATATATATATATAAAGGGAAAGAAGTGTATACCTAAGGGCTCGTTTTTCCATGTTTTGACACAACACTAATGAGATCTAACAGACAATAATGCCAAGGAATGTAGAGGGGAATTTATTAAAACCAATGTTTTTTTTTTTTTTTTGGAGGGTCTTTAAACTGTGAGGGTGACCCTCTGTTACGGGAACTTGTATCATTTCACTTACATCCTCCAAAGAAGGCTGGTCCACCAGCCGAAACTGTTAGGATTAAATAAATATTTTGTTGTTTTGTTTCCTATACTGCACTATTCTCGAAGTTTATAACTTTTATTACGGTAGTCGGAAGAAACTCTGATCATCTATTTCATCTCTCTCTCTCTCTCTCTCTCTATATATATATATATATATATATATATATATCTACCTACTGGGGGGGGGGGGCGGTGTGCTACGGAATGGCTATACCACTGATGGCGCGCGTCATGGCCTTGAAAGCGCTCTCTTTTATTTTTCTTTCAGTGTGGCACGTCGCGGCATTCCATTGCGGCCGCAGTGTCTGTGCAGCTCACGACGCGGAAACCAGCCACTCCGTGTTTATGGCGCGGTCATTTGGGTTTATGGCAACTTTTGGCGAGAGAAGAGCGAGTGATTTCTAGGTAACTCAGAAAACTAACTGATGGATCTAGGCTGCGTGCTGCCATATGATGTTCAGCTCACACGTTCTCTGGAGCCTTGACTACCGATTGATAGCGTTTTCTGACCAGGCTGAAAAAGTGTTGCGAGGCCCCTACAAGCACTTTAGATCCCCCTCCCAATGAGTAAGCTGGAAGCTACGCAGAGAGGTTTGATGAAGGGTGTAAGAAGCTACGTCACACGCATGTCATGAGACGCGATCTCTCTATCCAGGAATTATTCCGGTGTGCATTAATGTTTCTAGTGTATAATTTTAGCACAAACACCGCTCATGGCTTACATCAGCTATCGGCAAACAGCAGCAATCTGTTGTACGAAGAAAAATCTTGTTTGGCGGCCCCGCGAAGATAGTGAACGGATCTTTGTGATGAAACGAGGGTGCTCGAGAGATCAGTAGGGTGCCTCGATGTGCGCGGCCCTTACTCGGGGTGCTGCCACCTTTTGTACTCCTTTATCCGCCATTGTGGTGCCCTCAACGTCTTCGCCAAGCTGTAAAACTCACGTGCCGGTTTTCTTCGGCATGTTTTGCCTGGATGTTGAGTTCCTCAGGACTACAACCATTCGTGTTGAGCTAGTGGGCCACTACGCGCCAGAGCGAAACCTGTATACAGAGGGAGTGATGATGGCGGCCACCGCAGATGTCTTCTCTCTGAGCGGAGGAGCGGGCATCGAGGCGCTCTGGAAATTGGTAGCTTTGCGCTCACTTAAAGAACCGTACGAGGGCAGGATTTGGCTGAGCTTGCTTGCTCGCTTGATCCTTTCTTTTGTCACTTTCACCTACTAAGGGGGATTGGTCAAGAAGCCGGTGGTTAATGCAAGTCAGTACCTTTAGGTTTTCTAGGCTAGGGGAATAGGATTACTTCGATTTGACTGTGAAATATAATTTGGCTCAATGTAAAAAGAAAGTGGGGGAAGAAAAGAAATAATAGAATTGCTGACAGCAGCGCCTGCTTTCTGACGTTTTTTTTTTTCTTTTTTTCACCGAACACTGAGTGAGTTTAGGACCCCTTTAAGCACCTGATTCGGGAAAAATCCCCATGTGAATATTTAACATTTCTATTTACGTCTACTGTCAATCTCAGCTAAGCACAATTTTAGGAGTTGCGAAGAGCAAAGTTAATACTGCAAGTGCAGTACATGAGCAGGAAAGTGACAGAATCAAATACACCATCTCAAATTCAGAATATGGCTGCAATTAACTGTTAACTCGTTAGAATCTGAAAAATAAGGACAACCAATTTAATATAAACATGGTATATGTTGCACACAAAGTGGGGGACAGCTTAATGAACAAACGTCCCACGCTTATGTGCATTAATGATTACGCTAAACTTCAGTGTCAGTATTAATTCTATAGAAGCTTATATAGAGTGAACGGGAGTTCTAATTAGGACATAAACAATACAAACAATGGAGACGGAAAAGTATGAACACAGATCAGTGACTAAAGCAGTGAGGCTACTAATTTTCTCCCAATTAGAGCTAATTGCTTGGAAGAATTGCTGCGAAAGACGCCTATTGTACCTACCATTTCATCGCGGCCAATTTTATCATAGAGATCCCACTTATAACGAACTTCGTAGTAATCGCGAAATTAGATATATCGCTTCACTTTGCACAACCCTTGTTAGCACAGAAAGCATTTCAATATCAAATCACAGCAAAAGATACGGAAGATGCAACTCACTAGTTGATTTTGATATGCTGTTACCGCGGTGAAAACAGTTTCAGGAAAGATATAAGTGCGATATTGCTCGGCTTCGAGGTCCGTTATGACGGGTGGATTTGAGCAGCAGTCTGGCCGCAGTTTGACCAAGTGGATGCGTGGCTGATACTTGTGCATCGAATTCAGCACGATCTGCAACGAAAAAGAATTTGTTGTCGGTTTATAACTAGTGCAAAATAATTTAGAAACGACAAAAGATGTTTTTTTAATGTGCACGTTCGACTTTTATGTCGCAACCGTGAGGACACAATGTTTCGAGGAGGTTGTGCCAAGGTTGTTGCCTGACGTCATTTGATGACGTTCTTCTTTGGCCTCGTCCACAGTGGCCACATCTTATTACTGCTACTATCTGTAACACGTGATATTCGTCTACTTATTTCGACATGCATGAGCACGTTGCTTGGCGCTACAGTGATGATTTAGACTGTTTTATTTGACTCAACGCTTTGCGCGATGTATGAAGGTGTGCGCTGTGCTCGGGAGACACCAGACTTTTGTGCGTGCTCTGCGCTTCGCGTGATTTATGTGACCGTGCAAAAGGGACTCTCTTTTTGTAGGTGTTGTGTGCGCTGTTCGAGGGACTACAGACATCCGCACGAGTGTGTCGTTCGAGGTGCCACAAAGAGCCACCAAGGAAAATCGGGTAGCTTGCCGACAGTAAATTGTCTACGCTACCATCCTCAATGACGCTTTGGAAATTACGTCTCACGTCCATACTGCCACTCATACTACAGTTTTCTCTTATAACGCATGAGCTCTATATATCCTCACCCATGTAATAAAAATATGACCGCCATCCATCATGCGACAGCACTGCAGAACTACCATACTAGCAAATACTTTGAGACCACTCACGTGTCCCTGCTTGTCCATCTCGTTGTTGGTGAGCTTGACCTTCTCGAAGGAGACAACCTGCTTGCGCAGCTGGTCCCCCGTGAAGGGACAGTCCGGATGTGCGTAGAGGCGCGCCGGCGATGGAGGGTCCGCCTTGCCGGCCACCAGCCACGAAGACCGGTGATACGCATACCGGTACCGCTTGTTGTCCACAGGAACGATGTCTAGTAGAACCACGTAGCGCCCGTCAGGATGCAGGCCGTTGAATGAGACGCGTAGCGTAGGAAACATCCGCCTGCAGTAGAGTCATGGGAGCGCCGGAATTCACGAATATCGACCGCACTATGTAATTCATAGAATGGTATTTATTTATTTATTTACACATATCGTATATCACAGTGGTCGTGGGGAATACTCACTTCACGTCTTTATCGACTTCTTAAACTTCGTTAATTCACTAACGGTCTTTTCGACCATGAAATGAATTTCGCCCAGTCAGTGCTTAGTGGACCCCCCGTGACACAAGCCGAAAACCCCATGACTGACGTATCAGTCCCCAAATTTAGACTTTACATACATTTGTGCTCCATATATCACTTCCGAAATGCTCTCTCGCGCAACCTAGGAAAACTATATATTTTTTGGTGCATTGAGCGTGCCAAGAATCAAATCTGTCTCTGGTTATGGGACCTGAGTAAAACTAAAAGACGAGTTGCGGCTAACATAGCGAGGCATCGTTGAGATTTGGCGAGTGAGAAGGCATGTCAGTTGGGATCTTCACGCATTAGGGAAATTTATTTATGCCATATAATGGTTAACTTAGCAAACCATAAAACCTATAGAGCTTGGTATAGCTTCCGTTCTGTATTGGGTGCATTTTCTTTTTTTTAATGCTGTAACACAGGTGCCTGTTTTACAAAAAGAAAAGAAACCGAGAGGAAAGAATCATAAGCACCAACAGATATCGTGTATTACGCACAAACTATTGCTAAAATATGTAAATAACTTAAAAAATAACTAATTGCACATAGGAATTTCAAGGAACAAGTTGTAATTATGAAATAGAAGTATATAGTCAGTGCTTAATACACGCGTTAACTAATCACGTGTCTCGATTATGCAGTGTTGACGGTAACGCGTTACTTTTTTTGGGTAACTTAGTAATGTACGCATTACAATTTTAGAACTGTAACGGGTAACGTACTTACAGTGCAATTTTTTTGTAACGTGCGGTGTCGCATTACTCGTTACTTTTTGAATTGAACACTCAACTTTGCGCGAAATTCCCAACCACACAGAAGAAGAAAACACATAAGACAGGATGGGGTCTCACTTATAACTGTTTATTCCTTGAGAAAACAGGAACCCACTTGTAAACACATGCACAACTTGCTCGGGCCATCGCTTACCTAATCAGGCTATCGAACACATGCTTTCTACGTAACGTGCTTCCGACCCATGCAGGTTCAGTTACGTTTCGCTTGCACAATTAATACCCCATTTTTTTATGTGATAGGCTTCCGAAATTTCCCCTGTTACCTTGCTTCTACTTTTTCTCAAGATCCCAATCTAAAGTGCATGCACACCGTCCCTATTCTTTACCGTGAGAGCATCTTCCCTCGCTCGATCATTGACGCATTGCCCCGTGTCGCCAACATAGCTCTTCGTAAACCACTCCAGTGGCGCACTTCTTGAACGGCCGCGCATACTTCTTTTTGCAGTCTTTCGGCTGTTGAGCGTGGCTTTCATTGATGGGAGGGCACAACTTCGCCAGTTTGTTTGGTGCGGCAAACACCAGCGGTACACCATGCCGACTCGTCACCTTTTTTATGTTGTGTGTAGCGTTATGAATATAAGGTACCACCTCCGGCCGTTCTTTATCCTTTCGTGCTTCAGCCGGGCCTTTTTTACCTCCTGCAGAAGGCATTTCCAACCACATACAGAATCGAGCTAGGTAATCTGCCGACCTTCAAATGGTCCAATTGTGCATTAAAACTAGATTGCATGAGATGCGGACAGAAATTCTGGAGTGTGGACCCCAGGGAAACCATTGCAATGCCCATCTTCACGGTTATCGAATGGGCCGAAACAAAGGGTAAATGTTCTTTTTTCGCTGGGGGAAACTTTTCATCGTTACTTTTTCATCGTGTAGGTGCCATTTTCCCAGGGCTCACCCCGATGAATTCTTTTGTCGGGGTGTCGGGCAGCTCTTCACCTGCAGGTTACAACAACAACAACAACAAAAAAACGAGGGTGGAATCACTTGTTTTTTTTTTCTTTTGTAGAAATTGATTGTGGATAGAAATTCCTGAAACGCCCCAACTTAATGTGGGGAATTTCGGGCCATCACCACACAAAGCTTTAAAAAAGCTATGGAATCCGCCATTACAAACTATAGGGACATGCTTTTCATGGAATGGGATTGTAGCTAGCTGGTGCATTGCTGGCCCCTGTGCCTTTCTGTACCCCAAAAAACAGGCTTCACAAAGGGACAGCGCATGGACCGGTTTACTCCATACCAAGTGCTGATTGTCACGCTTTGTACGCGGGGAAAGCGAAGAACTTCTTCGAGATCCTGCGGCAACATGAAACAGACGTCTGCAAGTTCGAGTGAAAAAGAAGTACACTCGCTGAGCAGGGCGTACGGAACGACCAGCTCATCAAATTGGACAATCTCGGCATCGTAGACTTGGAGCCGAAGTTACAAGCGGCTTTTTGTGGAATCCTGGCTCATCCAGGAGACAGCCGGTAATTTAACCGGTCTACAGTTGCACTATCAATGGAGCCTGCGTAAACGGAATTCTGCACATCGTGAACAATAGGCGTGACCCCGTGACAGGAATAAAATCTCTAAAAAGAATGCAAATGAGGCGCTAAGCGCCGAATTTTTATTCTTTGAGAAAAAACTTTTTTATTTTTTTCTTGCTACTTTGGTTGGCTCGATTGGTGTCTCGCTACCCTATGTTTCAACTAAATCCCATTAACAGTGCTGTCGCGGAACACTACGGCTAACAACAGTTATATGCAGCTACACGGCAGACATAACCATTGTTACTCTCCTAACCACGGTTATCGCAAAGAAGGGGCTCAGGCAGAAGTTTTTTTTCTCTCTCTCTCTTTGAGCTGAAGTGGGGGTCGGGCAGGCAAGTATGCCATGTCGACAAAACATTTTAGGGGGGGGGGGGGCATGGGCCCGGTGTGCTCCCTGCAGGCTACGCCACTGTCGCAAACGGGTAATTCCACGAGATCGCCACAAGTCTGAAAAAAAAAAAAAAACTCCCAAGCATTTCCCAGGGGGTGAACATGGTTAAGTGCGAATGCACGGGGTGATTGGATTGGATAAACTTTTATTTGCACGGGGTGATGCTATGAGGGGTATTTATTAATTCGCACTATTATATTTATTAATCACATTATGGTGCCTTTATGGTGTAATGGTTCCTGGGAATCGCAATTTGATCCCACTGGGGAGTTTACGTTAACTCACTGGCGAATGCGGGAACGTCCACTCGCCGTTGACGATTGCGAGCGGCGTCTTGACGCCGGCCTTCATCGCCCTTCTCCGCCTGACGCTTGCGTTGTCGTTCCGCTTCTTGGGCTGCGTTCGCGGCTCGATGCTGACGCCTCATCTCGGCCTCGCGAGCGCGCAGTTCACCATCCGCTGCACGCTTCGCCCGCTTGTCCTCGGCCTCGCGAGCGCGAAGTTCGGCATCCTTTGCACGCTTCGCCCGCTTGTCCTCGGCCTCGCGAGCGCGCAGTTCGGCATCCGCTGCACGCTTCGCCCGCTTGCACTCGGCCTCGCGAGCACGCAGTTCGGCATCCGCTGCACGCTTCGCCCGCTTACGTTCGGTCTCACGAGCCCTTCGCAGCGCCGCCTTGTCTTCCAACGTCGGCGAAACCACCGCGGTACCGTCACCTACAACGACGGGTGCAGTGCTGGCATTCGGTTGTACTGCATTCGTTGTTGATGGTAGCGTTGCCTCCGGGACATCCATCGCACGACCCGCTCTCGACGGGAGACTGAGAGAGAAGGCGGGCGCGCGAGAGAGAGGGGTGCGCGCGCAGCTGCAGCGAGCGAAGGGGGAGGGGGACGCGCGCAGCGGCGTTAAAGATATAAAGCGCGTTACTGACACCGATATCGGCGTCGCGTCCGTGGCTTATTCGGTAGAGCGTCGCGCTGCGGCCCGCCAAGTCCTCTTTCTTTTAAAGATAGAGAGAAGACTGCGGACGCCGCCGACGGCGGTGGATGGTTTGGGGTCGCTTATAAAGTGTATTCACACTTAAAAAAAGAAATTATGGACCATCTCCCCGAAGGGAATCCTGATGGGATGCGAAGAAGTAGCGGTGCGCACGGCGTTGACCAGGCTGAAACACAGGCGTCGATGCGAGTGCTGGAAGAACGGTCTGAAGCGCAACCTTGGTATTGCGTTTACTAGGGTAAACGTTTGTTCGAAAAGCAAAGGCATGCGAGGTGGTGGTTGATCACAGGAAGACTGTTCGCTCGATGTGCACTCGAACGTTGTGAGCGGTAGAGAGGGTGAAGGGAGAGAGATGACACGCGGCGACAGGCTAGAGAGAGAGAGAGAGACGTCGACGCGGGCGCGCTGTGAGGGAACATGTCTTGGCACCGTCCCAACACCTACGGCCAGGGGAGCGTGGTGCGAACGGAGGGACAGCGTTACAAAGGCTAGTCAAAGAGCTGCTTCGCATCTAAAATGATATTTTAGATTTCATTGAGTATTTCATATTTCATACATATATCATCGAGTAGCCCGAAAAGAAACTCAGTTTTCTTTTTAACTGCATAATTTACGAGGCAAGCAACATCGAACATATTCAACACGGAGAGACCAAGCTCATCACTAGTCGTTCTCGTAAGTTCATAATGATGTAACATACAAATAGTACCGTTACAATTAATACATCTTCTGTGTGGAATACATGCACAACGAAGAGTGAAAAAACACTGTTTGAAACTTGTAGAGCGAAGAAGATTATTTTTGAAAAATATCTACATATGCGTGTTTTTTATTATAGTTAATGCAAGGTTGATAAGACTTATCAACCTACTCAAAAACGTTTTACTTCTTTCTCTCCACAACGGTAACTGTGTTTTTGGTTATTGAACTCTTGAGCCAGCCAGGTTTTTATTTGAACACGCTCACATAAACGCTCGCAAATTTGTCGCGGTAATTATACAGGCTAAAGTGAACGAGAAATGTTTGTGCACATTTTTTTTTGTTTTCCGGGACTAAGCCATAAAGCCTTTCTTCAGCCACGGCCGGACTCGACGCTCCTTCCGCACGGAGAAGGAGTCGAGTCCGGCCGTGCTTCAGCGTATCCCATAACAGCCCTTTTCTGTGTAGGTCTTCCGCGCATGCGCACCGGCGTCGATGAGGCACGTGCCACATGTCTTGGTGGCCCAAACGAGACGACAGGAGTTGACCAGGGGATGGGGGGCAATGCAGGTCTCCACGATTGCCTAGTTGAGCGCGGCGGTCAATTTCAGAGACCGCCAGTTTCGATTTCGACAATCTTCACTGGAGGGGCTGTTCGGACTCTGAAAAGGCCGATTACGGTAAATTTATTGAGAGTTCAGTGATGCTTTCCTTGTGGCTAGCATGGGTGAGTGAATCGGATATTGTGCATAATGTCGCATTGAGAAAAAGGTCTTCACCATGTGCCACAGTCACAAACCATCACATGTAACGAGCATCGTTAAGCCAAGGTGGTACACTTGCACAAATAATACTCGTTAAGGTGGCGGTTTTATACTATCGCAGTCTTCCGAGTAGTTTCGCCTGAAGCCACCAGAAGATATCACTAAGTCACATCGCGCCCCACCCTGGTGGTCTAGTGGCTGAGGCACTCGGCTGCTGACCCGCAGGTCGCGGGATCGAATCCCGGCTGCGGCGGCTGCATTTTCGATGGAGGCGAAAATGCTGTAGGCCAGTATGCACAAATTTGGGTGCTCGTTAAAGAACCCCAGGTGGTCAAAACTTCTGGAGCCCTCCACTACGGCGTCTCTCATGATCATATGGTGGTTTTGGGATGTTAAACCCCACACATCAATCATCAAGTCATATGGATTGTAATAATTTTTTGGGTTAGAAGTTTTATGTGAAACATAAATTTGAGACAAAAATCTTATTGTGAGTTCCTGTTACAAAGACACATTTATTAATGTTTATGATTGTTTAGTGACGGCAGAGGTAACGTCCGTTACTTTTTTCGGTAACGCGTAACCTTTTTTTTTTTTGTAGGTAACGTATAGGGCGCTAAGGCGTTTCTTTTTTGTTGGAGTAACGATTAACGTATTTATTTAGTTATTTTTTTGTAACGAATACAACACTGAGTATACACAGCACCGTTTCTCGAGGTCCGTTACTTCGCTACAATATGGATCGACGCCTGACTTGATTGCGAGACAGTCCGGCGCGGTGCTGAACGTGGCGAGGCCCGTGTACAGTGCGATGTCAGTTAAAGGACGGACGAAATTACCGGGGCCCTCCACAAAGGGCTCGTAATCATTTCGTGGTTTTGGCAGGTAAAAGCGCAGATATTATTTCGTCATCGTTGATTACAAGACAAAGCCAACGAAGCTTATGCGTTTTCGTTTATCGTCTCGCGCCTTTCGCAAGACGAGACTCGAGGGAAGGACACGCCGTGCCTTGTCCTGCAGCATAAGCGGCTTGGTTTGTCATTATTGTCTGCGCCCCGTTTCGCTTTCGTCCGCGTTTTGCACGCCGGGGATACCCGAAGCGGGGGGGGGGGGGGGGGGGGGCATTCGTAGCGGATAAATGTTTTTTTTTTTTTCGGTTGGTCGCATCGTTTGCCGCGGAGAGTGCTGGCTTACATTTTCGGTCGACTGCTTCTCTTTCAAAGAGCCTTTTGCTTTTAGTGCGTTACGCACATACATCAATACTACTCTACTGCTCCGTTCCTTGCAGTCAAAGCTGCTGTTTGTCAGCTTGTTGTCTGTGCCTGCGCTGCTTTCGTTCGATCGTGCGTGCTGGAATTCTCAGGGCAGGCAGCTCCGTGGTGAATACATGCATACATTTTACCGGCTTGTGTCCTACCACTGCATATTCCTTTCTTTCCCTGTGTTTCGCTATTGTTGTTGCGGCCTTATGACATAACATCATCGTCGTCGTCGTTGCCGCAGTAACTGGCGTATCCCTACAGCGAGATTGGTCGCATTGTAATTAAAGGTTTTACACAGGCAACGAACTAAAGGAAACAAAACTGACCACTGAAATTAAAACAACAACAAAACCACGCGTAACTTGATGATTGCGCATTCTGATTGCATTTAGCTCCCTGATCTTCGCCTTTCTCTTCCACCCTTGCGTGACTGTCCGCGAGACGAAATAGGCGTCGCGAGCCTGCACGAGGCCCGGGGTCTCGCAGAACGCTCGCTGTCGTTCGATCGAGCTGGCGGTTGTGATGGCGTGCTCCCGGTGGGCCGTGCTGGCTGTCCTGCTGCTGCTTGCCGTGCCTTCGCTGTCGGACAGCACGGTGGCCGATGACGAGACGGTCGCCACGGAGGAGCAGGTGGCGGCCAGCGGCATGGACGAGGACGAAGGAACCAAGGAGCAGGCGGCCCCCGCCGACTCGCAGGAGGAGCCGCCGGCCGACGAGACCTGGGCCAAGGCCGAGTCGGTGCACGAACTGGAAGCCTACGGGTGCGGCGAGCCCTGGGAGGCGTGTGACGCCGAACGCTTCTACGACGACCACGTCGAGGATGACAAGTAGGTTTGCTTTGTTAGCGCGCGCCGCGGAGGGTTCCGCCGCCGGCTGTGGGACGTTGCGCCACGCATGGTAAACAGCCACGCACTCGAAAATGAGCGCGTTGATATTTATCATGGCCCAATTTTAACTTCCGCAAATTTCCGCCCTTTTCACGTTAAAATCATCCCATCATATTACGGAATTCGCAATGCAGCGCCCAAGGTTTCTAGGCCTTTTATTCGCACGCGGGGGAAAAAAAATTCGTAAGAGTTAGTGAAAGTGTCAGCAGATAGGGATGCTGTACATCAGATTAGCAAAGACATTATTTGTGCGGTAGACTAAGAAGAGGACGGAGGATTAGGAAACTCATTTTCCCCTAATCGATGACCATTGTGCTTAGAATTGCCGATTTATTCGCAGGCGTTCGCTCTGCCAACTGCTTGCCTCATGGTTTTCTCAGTCTGCAAAGCGACCAAACCGGAAATATGTTGGTTCCGCAGGTTCCATTCCCGGCCCAAGCTGAATTTTTTTTTTTTCATCCACAAAGCTTACCTAGGCTTTTTTTCTTTTCGAGAAATCCGAATGTATTCCCTTGTTGCCTTGTGCTGCGAAACAAGAGGGTGTAAATTTTAGTTAGGCGCCCGTTTTCTGCTGTCAGCGGCGTCGCTGTAACCGGATGAGCGAACGCGGAGTGTCGACATCGCGAGCCCTTTTCTTCCTCGTCACGCGCCCCTCGCTCGGAGCTCGTGCAGGGCTGGCGCGTGCACGCGGCTGGCTTTGCTTGTCGTAACGGGGTTTTCGCCGTTTCATTTTCTTCGAGCCGCCTTGAACTCGTAGCACTCGAGCGCTGTCGGCGTTGGTTCGCGACGCCTGCAGCGCAGCCAGTGTCTGTGGCAATATGCAACGAACGTTACATCGCTACAATTGCGCCTTCAAACACTTTTGGCGTTGTCCTAACACGAGGCTGCGCCCAGAATTCCGACTCGCTCGCTGGATTTCGTGCCGACCGGTTGTGCCCCCGCGATCTCCGAGGACAGCGCACCTCTGGCCGACTGGGCTCGCGCTACGCCGTCTCCTGACGCCGACAATAGCTCTCACTGGGTGCCCCGTCCTCGCACTCCTGCGACCGCGTCCATCTTTCCTATCTTCTCTTACTTCCGTCGTTCGCTGTCCCTGCGCCTCGCTCTCTCCCCCCCCTCTCTCTTTACCTTTTAATCCTATCCTTTTAATCTCTCCTTTATCCCCACCCTTCGTGAGCTACTGTTGAGGTGCACTCCCCCTGAGAGACAGTTACTGGGCTCACTTTTCTCTTCTTTTCACTTAAAATCACTTCTCCAGAATTCGAATTAGGCAGTTCTTAATCGATGGTGGAAATTTCCGCATTCATGGTTAACAAAAGCAGCGGAGAAAGAACAACTTGAGAGCTGAAATATTTTGTGGATTTGGCCCCCGATCGATATCCTCTCGGCGTTTCGTGCATATGATATTGGGGAACGACAATGCATGCCCATTCTCGTGTTTCACTCTTTCCACAGCTGGAAAGAGGGCAGTTTAATTTGAAATTTGTAGGGCGTCCCAATTTATGGAATCGCATTTCTTGAAGATACCGCACTTGGTTTGAGATATTTGTTATCGAATCCCAAGGCAATACCGACCCAGGCAATATCGAAACCGAGTGCGCCGGCAGTACGTAAAGCGCGGCCGCTCTGCAGGCGGAACCGTTCTTTGACAAAGTAAAGACAATCGAAGGAAAACGGGTCGCAACAGTCTGGTCAAGAAAAAATGGCGAGTCGTCCGTTACGCACGCGCGGACCGTTATAAAAGCGATAGCGTTCGAAGACTGGTGTCACAGAAATTCCAGTGCCGCCGTCGTTAGTTGTGAGTGAAAATTCAGCGTTGTCCATTACCGAAAAATCGGTACATGCAAATAAAGTGATGTAAATCTTTAGTTCGAATGAGAATCGAACCTACGGCTTTTGCGTCGCAAGCAGGCCTTTGCCATGCCGTCGCCTAGAACTGCTTCAAAAAAAAAAAAAAGAAAACTTTAGGAATATGTCATATTTAGTGGAATGAGTGTACTTAACGCATATATTGTCGCGTGGCAGAAACGTCTGTATATATATATATATATATATATATATATATATATATATATATATATATATATATATATATATATATATATATATATATATATATATATATATATATATAAGCAGGCATGGTGGTTGAGTGGCTGTAGCGTTGCATATAGTCCAGTAGATCCTCCGTGAGCGGTCACAACGTGGTTTATTTCGACGTTTCGGCCTAGAGTCTGGCCTTCATCAGGATTAAAGATACAGTTTGTTGGTGCTCAGCTTTATACAATCTCAAATCAGAGGGAAAGGAAAGAGGAAAAAAGACAGAAAAAAAGAAAAAGAAAGAAAAAGAGAAAAAAGAGAAAAAATAAGAAAAATAAGAAAAAAGAAAAAAAAAGAGAAAAAGAACATAAGGTGGACTCTCCTCGGGCGCCCCTCTTCCACTCTTCCTTCCACTTCCACTTCATCTCTCTTCCCTTTCTCCCCTTCACCTTTCTGATGTCAGTGGTGAAAGGAAGCATACACAGACCACTGACATCAGAAAGGTGAAGGGGAGAAAGGGGAGAGAGATGAAGTGGAAGTAGAAGGGGGGCGCCCGAAGGGAGTCCACCTTATATTCTTTTTTTTCTCTTTTTTCTTTTCCCTTCTTTTTTCTTTTTCTCTTTTTTTTCTTTTTCTCTGTCTTTTTCCTCTTTCCTTTCCCTCGGATTTGAGATTGTATAAAGCTGAGCACCAACAAATTGTACCTTTAAACCTGACGAAGGCCAGACTCTAGTCCGAAACGTCGAAATAAACCACGTTGTGACCGCTCACGGAAGATCTACTGGAGTATATATATATATATATATATATATATATATATATATATATATATATATATATATATATATATATATATATATATATATCGCACTAGGCGTTAAGAGATGTAAACTGCGCAACGAGCGAGTGGTAACGGCCCAACCACTATTTAGCTTTCAGACATATTAATCGTCATCAGCAAAAGCATCAACAAAGCGAACAGGTGCGCAGAATCGCGTGTAGTCTTGCGGACGCGCAGGTTGTGCTTTTTGGTTATTCGCGCAGGAATTCTGGCATAGTAAGTACTCTCCAAGAGTGCTTGCAGCAGGCATTTTGATTGATATGTGGAGTTTAACGTCGCAAAATCTCCGTATGATTACGAGAGACGCCGTAGTGGAGGGCTCCGGAAATTTCGACCACCTGGGGTTCTTTAACGTGCACCCAAATCTGAGCGCACGGGCCCACAACGTTTCCGCCTCCATCGGAAATGGAGCCGCCGCAGCCGGGATTCGAACCCGTGACCTGCGGGTCAGCAGCCGAGTACCTTAGCCACTAGACCACCAGGGCGGGGCTGCAGCAGGCAGTTTAGGATAGTTTGAAACTGTCCTTGTTACGCGCGTAGACGTTCGTTTTCTTGCGGCATGGCTGCACCAAAAACCGAAGCAGGCCAGCAATGAAGCCGCGGCGCACGGAGCACGCTATCGCGTTCTTTTCTCGAACCTCAAGCGTCCTCACGTTTTTTTCCCTTTGCGTGGAATGTGAGGTGCTTATCCGTTCCTTTCTTAAAGTAGACGCTTTCACAATTATTCTTTTCATCTCTACAATGTGAACTTCAGTCGTATCATTAGTGATCTACTCATTTATGTAATCATTGAACATAATGCTTGCGTTTTTTCGGGCGAATCATTTCTCATGGGCAGGTGATTCATTTGCAGTGACGTGAAAATAATTTTTGTGAACTTGTGTAAAGCAAAAATCAATATTTATGTGGGCTGTGGCGAAAGAACAACCACGGCCCCGCCGCGGTGGTCTAGTGGCTAAGGTGCTCGGCGGCTGAGCCGCAGGTCGCGGGATCGCATTCCGGCTGCGGCGGCTGCATTTTCGATGGAGGCGGAAATGTTGTAGGCCCGCGTGCTCAGATTTGGGTGCACGTTGAAGAACCCCAGGTGGTCGAAATTTCCGGAGCCCTCCACTATGGCGTCTCTCATAATCATACAGAGATTTGGGGACGTTAAACCCCCACATATATCAAGGAGCAACCACGCCGAACAGTGTAATTTAGAAGAAAAAATATTGCCACAGTAGTTTTTCTTTTCTGGAGCAGAGTCGGTGAATGCATTCGCATTCATTACTCATTAGTGTAGCGGCTGTTTCTACCTTATGACAAAGGGGAGATGCCGTATTACATTTTATTGCTATCATTGTCTTGACTATATATGCATGTCTTTTTTTAATGTATCGTACGCAGGTGAACCGGCTTGCAACTCAAGCGCTGGAAGACTTGCGTCGTCACGTATCTGGATTGCGGCATCAGGACCGGAGGCTTGCCCTACCAAATCACTTCTCCCCTTAGCGTCGTCGCTCACCCGCCCCCATCGCCCGCACCACCGCCCAGCCTATCTCGTTGAATCAAAATTATCCTTTCAAGAAAGATTGTTTACAACCAACTAGGAATGGTATTAAATTAGTCTGACGTGTCCGTCCAGTATTTTGTCTTACTGATTTCTCTCTAGGTGATTTTTTTTTTAAATGCGAAGCATTCCTCTGGAAACTGAAAGCACTTTGTCCATTTCTATCAACGCATAGATCTAGCCGCCTACGTCTCGTGGTTGTCTCCTTTACTTGACACACATGCACCTAAATTTGCACGGAAGGGCATTAGTGCATGACGAACACAATTAATGCTTGTCGCGTTCGTCATGAAACCATTTCCTTCACAAGGAAGTCGGGTACGAGGCACAGGTGACAAACTGCATCAAAATGGGTACGGTGATAAGATTTTCAAAAAAGCTTTACGCGATCACATTATGGTATCACGGAAGAGGCAGCCGTCGGCAGCGTTGTCTGTGAGGGAAATTCGGAGGAACGGATAGATCGCGGTGGTAGACGGAATCGAACTTCATTCTGCGTGGTAGTCAAGTATTGAAACTGCTCATGAAAAAGACCCTATGATGTCCTCGTATCGCGACAACGTTAACTGTGGTTGTATTGTTCGCTATCGGCTTTTGAAACAACGTCAGCACTAACTCCTGTGACTTAACCATTGCCTAACCCGGAGGAATACGCCGGAAACCATTTCTTATATGCCCATCGTCGCTTACTGACGTGAAAATCATTTCGATACAACTGACATTTGAGCTCTAACGTTAATACCGGCGTAACGACGTATACCTGAGCTTACCTTTGGGGGTCACTAAAGTCTACGCGCCTGCAAGTCCACGATCAATCCCGCAGCCAGGAGGGCGGAGAGAGGGAGGGTCCTATCAGTCTCCTCCACCCCCAAATTGTAGCTTCCTCAAATAAGCACACTTGGTTCGTCCCCCTCCGCGAGAAATTTCTCGATACGGGCCTGCTTCAAATGCACAAAGTTGGTCCGACTCGCAACACTTGACTCGAAGCAATGAAAAAAAAAAAAAAATGATATATATGCCACTATACTTGCCTATATACTGGGGTGCATGACATATCGTCTCTTGAAATGAGTGAGATTGGCCGAATTTACACAGAGATGAAGCGCTGATGTCCAATGTCGTGAAAATTTTGATCATTAAAAGGCGCACAGACGAAGTTAAAGGGTTGTGCTACCGCTCTGCAGTGCAAGCATGAACCATATGTGCCGATCCAAATGTACGGCCTCGGCACCAACTCACGCGCACGTCAGTTGGCACCGTTCGCCGAATGTTTTCGGCAAAGTTGCCCGATTAAGGAAGGGGAATGAATGTGAAAAGATTCCATATCTAGGTTTTGGATGGGGACAGCAATAACGGCTAGTTAATTTTTCATCTCTTACTTTGGGGACAACCACCTTTGGGCACATGTTGTGGCTCAGTTGCAATGAATCGGCATGTCCTTTGCCGCATGTTGTCTTCCAGTGTTCGCTCGCGATCAGCTGCAGCGTAACCCGACCCGCAGCTCCTTTGCTGGCCGCTCCAACAAATGACATTGGGTCATGATTATCTATTCTAAACTTGGCTGCGTCAGTGAAGATATTCTTGCGATATAGATACGAGCTGGGCACAGGCGTACAGTTTAATGACACTTTACTCAGCTTTCACGAAATCACCTCACACTACAGACACGACAGAAGCCCCTTTACCACATGAAAAGCTCGCCCGCGCGCAAGAGGTAGCCTTTCGCAAGCTACGAACGGGGCCGACTCAGCCGTTACAACTCGGACGTTAATCCACAATGTCTGCACAGAAGTGTGCTGCTCGCTCGCACACATGCTCTGGCAATGTCCCTCGTTACCGCAGGGAGCTCTCACCAGTGAGTCCGACTGAAAAGAGGCACTCAGGCGTCCCAACTAAAGGCAGTCCAGAAGGCCCAAGAATTGGTGGAACGCCACCACGTTCCCGCCCCGACTCGGGCATCGCCTACAGTAGCGGCTGCTGTCCCTCGTGGTGGCTTGAAAGTCCCAGGACCTTTTAATAAAGTTCTTGACTGACTGGTATGGATGCGCACATTGCAATGTGCATGTATTCTTACTGCTGTCCTCGCGTTTGACGCTACACGTATGATGACACACGACCAGATACAGGTAGCAGTTTGGTTACGTCTATCGCGAGATTCGAAATATATTTTCGAAAAGCTACAGCCGTTTTTCAACACTCCTTAATTGCGTGCGGCAACAGCGCTTGTCGGCATACATGCAGCCCGGCTCGGTGCACGGAGGGGCAAGATCGATACGCGGCTTCGAAGCACAGCCTTGCCCTTTTCTTCGCCTATTCCTCCGCTTGTCCGCGTTCCTTTCGCTGCTATGCGTGTGCAGTGCGCAAACGAATTCTGACACTCCGGTGAGAGACAAGGCCTTTCGACAGCATATACCCGCGCTATCATCATGAGGAGCAAGTGGCGAGCGTGCCTCGAAAGGTGCGTGGTGCGAGGCCCATTAAACGTGGATAAGAACGACAGAAAAAAACAACACCACGACTAAATATCTTCGCGCAGAAGCGGTTCCCTTGGCAAGAACAAAAGCGCAGGCACTCAGCGAAGCCAGGCGAGCGAGCAGGGCACGTCGACCATGATCTCTTCACGTCGTCCATCAGCGCCAATCTTCATTTTTTTTTCCCGCAAGTGTTGCTTCCGCGCTTGTTCTCATGCATTTTCAGTGCGGTCGAAAGAGCCGCCATCCTTCTCCACCATCTCCAACACCCACGTTCCCCCGATTTGGGGTGGAGGATGTTATATGCATATCCGTCACATTGCGTTTGCAAAAAAAAAAAAAAGCGGGGGGGGGGGGGCATATTCTCGCTACAGAGAGCATCCTGTGCACCGTTTGGTCCAACTGCGTGCGAGCCTTTATTATTATTAATTTTTTTTTCTCTCGTTCGCGTCTTTCCGCTACGAACAAAAAGCAGCGCCTTTGACGATGAGTGCTCGCTGGAGACCTGCGGAGTTTAACGCACACGTGTTGCGGCCGCGCGTGCCGAGGGACGCGGCATGCATGCTGCCGGACTCGGGCTCTTCGGTTCTCATCTTTTTTTCCTTACTTATTTCTTACTTTTTTCCTCTGTGAACGTCGGGAATTGGGTTTTTTTTTTTTACGGACGAGGCGTTGTTTGCGCCTAGATCTGTATCTCTTTTGTATCCCGCTCTTTTCTTGTACGGCCGTCCGTATGAATTATTTAGGACAGGCAGTCATCCTTTCGACGATGACAGTGTGTGGAACTTGTACGCACCATGCTCTCGGAGAGAATCGGCCGTACAGAGCTCAACTGGCGCACAAGTTACGCTCTCGGGGATACAGTTAAAAAACAAAAAGAAAGCGCGAGCGAATGACGACAAAAGAAGCAGCGCAAATTGATTCCATCACCCGCGTGAGAAGGCACCCTGTTCAACTTTCCCGCAGTATAATGGTTTCGCGAGTGACGACGATCACTGGCAGAAGTGTCGTTTCATTTTTTTTTATAGGAAACAAGAAACATTGTAATCGTCGTGAGCTGACGGAGTTTCAATGAAGGTAGAGAACCCGCGTTCTTTGAAAAAAAAAATTATTGGTCGAAAAGAAGTTGCTTCCATGCCACCGCACTCGGTGTCATGTATCCGTATAATAAGTTTTCGGTTTTAACGTTCCACCCAAAACCACGATATGATAAATAGAGGCACCGTAGTAAAGGACTACAGAAATTTCGACTACCTGTGTTTTTTTTAACGTGCACCTAAATATATAAGCACACGGGCTTCAAAAATTTTCGCCTCCATCGAAAATGAGGCCGCCGTTGCCAGGATTCTGCGGCTCAGCAGGCGGGCATCATAATCACTGGACCACCGTGGCGGGTGTGTTAAGTACATTGTTAAGTACAACAGCCGTACATTGCATGGTCTGCTTGTATACGCGCACATATACTCCCGAAAAGACACCTGCTTCTAGAAGCAACAACCACGACGAACAAAAGAAATATTCATAGCGTTTTCCTTCTCCTTTTTCCTCGTCTTTCTTTCTTTCTTTCTTTCTTTCTTTCTTTCTTTCTTTTCAGTGTCTCTTTAGTGAAAAAAATCGCAGCACATCCACGGAGTGGATGATGATGAGTGGGGCGAAGCGTCGGAGGTTTTCATTGGTAAAACGTGAATAGCCTGTCTGTCTGCCTGCCCGTCCGTCCGTCCGTCCGTCCGTCTGTCTGTCTGTCCGTCCGTCCGTCTGTCTGTCGGTTTGTCTCTCTGTCTGTTCGCACCTGCTGAGTGAGTCACGGGACTAGGTGGTCACGTATCACGACGAGCTCTGAGAGACAGGCCCACTGCTTTAAGAGCTTCGCCCCTAAAAGAGTTGCATTTCTGCATTCACGTTTATTTTTTTTGTTCATCAAATAGTTTCATTCATCCCACACCTTGTCTCTAGCGAATTATTTTCAGTAGCACAAGGCTACCTTTAACAAGCATTGAAATCCTCGTTAACGCACCCACTCTCTCAATAGTACACAAAGCTGGGCGCCATGCTCCCACGGCGTTGCAGCCCAACGAGTCTCTTTCATTGCGCCCATGAAAAATGCAGCGTTTCTCGGAGAAAAGCCATGGCGCGGCGTTAAAATGCGTGCCGTCATCTCGCGAAGATGGTGAGCGAATTCAAAAAAAAAAAAAAGCGAAGCGCGCTGCGTGTAATAATAAGCAGCGCAGGGTCGGACGAGCGAAACCAGAAACAAAGTGTACCGAACACGAAGAAAAAAAAAAAGACCGAATTCTCGCTTTAAATATTCACAACGCTTATCGCTTGCCTCGTTCACACGTCAGCTCCAATTGAGTCGCGCCGTAACCTGTCGTCGCAGGAAATCGTGAAAGAAAGACCAGGGAAAAAGAATAGATGTGCTGCTTTTGCTTGTATGGGCACATTTTGGCAACTTCGTAAACATTTACTTCATATATTCTAGTATTAATCACTGGATAGTAGCAGTATGCATGGTAATAATGAAAAAAAAAAGGGAAGAAATGAATAGCGGGAAGCTGTCGCGCACCATGGTTAATCATACTGAAGAAGAGCAGACGAGGAACTTTGCAATGAACGGTCTTTGCGCTTGCATATGAACTAAAATCTTCTCACATGGTTAGCTGCCAGAACTGTTCTGCGTTTTGCAAATTGCAAGCTTCCATCACTGATCCCAGACAGGCGCGCGCTTCCCAAACTCTTCTTATCTGCAAATTTAACGGTCGGAATTGTTGACAGTGTGCACAACTAACCCTTCACGTCCGTCAGTTTTGATTGTGCGCTCTTTCTGTATATACATCGACGCCTCTTATGCAGAAACTAAAATGCTTTTTATTTGTTTTCTGAGTTATATATGCAAACACCTCTGACAAGAGTGTCTTCCTGACTGCGTGGGAGATCTTCGAGGCTTAGCTAGCTGGTGCCAGGTCAGCCTTGATAAGCTATATAAGCATATTTATTTAAATGCAGAATTAATCCCCGTCCACGAGTAAATGAAAGTGTGGCCAAGCTCTAAGGGCTGGAAGCCTTGCAGTGCTGATAACATAGCTGCAATGTTATGTATTTGCGCAATGAGCGCGAATTCAAGCTAGTATAGTCGAGTGCTGTTTCGATAAAAACTTCGTACACAGTAGCAGGGTCTATGACAGACGAAAAGACACAACCCCTGTGTCCCTTTGTTGCGCTGTTTTTAATGAAATGAAACATGTACGGGTGCGTGCGTATCTCTTTAGGTTTTGCCGTCATATTTCATTAGATCGCAAAAGAAGAGAAGATCGATCCCCATAGCATGGAAATGCAAATCGATGCTGCAGACCTACACTTCACGTTGTTTCTTCCTTGTATAGACCAGCTTTTGAAGCACGTTCTTGCTGGTAGTTTATGCGTTATAGATCAAGGAATCGTTTCCATATAACGAAGCGCAACGCCTAGTCACGAATGAGTCTAATGTTATCTCTGCTTCAAAAAAATTAACGTAAACTCGTTGTTTTGTGAGCCCCCCTCCCCAGCACACACTTGGCGAGAAACCGCGATCAGAGCAGCTGGCGAAACTTTCTCATTGCGAGGACACATCCCATCTACTTCCAACGCTATGTCGTCGCTACGCGTCCCTCGTTCTGTCTTTTGCGATTAAACGCTGCAGCAGGCACGAACAAAGCCGAACATATATCCTCTAGTCGTCTCACAGCAACTGATCGCACATTGAACGCTGACATTTTTTCAAAGGACAACAAAACTGCTCCATGCTCACCTTCCTGTCTTGGTGATGATCATCTCGGTACCGAGTTCGTGAAACTTCTCCCACAGGTCTTTTGTCTCGAGATGCGCGTCGGCATTCCTCAGCTCGTCGCAATTGCAACGAGGCAAGATCTGGGGATTCTCGACGCGTGCGGAGCCCTTGGAGGAGCTGTCCCGCTGTTTGCCGGGCCGCGAGCCAATGGTAGGCGGGCCGCCGGACTCGGCGCCTCCGGGATCGCTCTCGGGTCGTCGCGCGGGGGAGGAGAAGTCGCCGCCAGGCGCTTCCACGAGTTCCTCGTCGGCCAGCGACGAGACGCTCGAGGGCGGCGACGCTTCCAGCCGCGCCGAGCCACCGAAGCGGCCCAGGAACTGTAGACCGGGAGCTCCCGTATCCGGAGACGACGCGGAGCGCCTCTGGGATCGAAGCAACAAGGGACTGCTCGGCTCACACAACTTGTCTGCGAGAGAAGAAAGGTTCTACGTTAGCACGCTCCCCCCGTTGACGCAACAGGAAGAAGAGCATCGCAGACACAGCGTCTGCACGGCAGCTGACACGCAGCTCGCCATACAGCACTTTCTCGCTAATCGTACTATGACGTGTATAATGAGTACATTCTGTTCATAATTAGGGAGCACCATGGCAAGCGAATCAGACATGCACTGTTATGAGATACGAGAATCGCGTATACGTCGTGCACACGTCTCTCTCTCTCTCTGTGTGTGTGTGTGTGTGTGTGTGTGTGTGTGTGTGTGTGTGCGTGTGTGTGTGTGTGTGTGTGTGTGTGTGTGTGTGTGTGTGTGTGTGTGTGTGGTGACTCCCCGAGTCACCTAAGAAGGGGGGGGGGGGGTGCTATGTCAGCCGCGTACATTGACACAACAGGGAGGGAGGCGCTGCCACTCGGGAGAGGGCGTAAAATTAGCCCTATATACATTGAAATAACAGAGAGTAGGGAACGCTCTGACAGACCCTCGCCTTCGCCCCCCCCCCCCCCCCCCCGAAGGGGAACCCTTCGCACGTCTATGCGTTGCCCGGTGTTATGCGGTTTTCTACGCTGTGGCATACTCTTGACAGATGAATGGCCTGCTCATCGCGTGTGAAACATCGAAGCAGTACCGGAATATCAGCGCGCCTTGAATGTGCACCCATTAAGGCAAGCTCATCGGAGCAAATGTTTCGCTTAAATTGGAACGAACTGACTCCTGATGAAGTGATCGTACTTGTACATTATAGTGACAGATTTTCAATACACTTTATAAGGCAGAAATTACAACGATACAAACTTTATTAAATAAAGAACATCGGCCACATGAAAGCGCAGTCATAATTTAAGCAATAAGGCTAGCTTCAGATAAACTGTCTGTGTGTGATCTTGTGCAGCCTGAGAACATATGCACAGGGCTGATGATATACCTAATGTGCTCGAAATAGCATGCTTGTCGTTGAAGACTCGCACGAGCAGTGTGAAAAGGAAATACATGCTCTTACTATGGTAATGTGAGAACATAAATTACGTGTATATGTCCAATAAGCACAGCAGATTTAATTCATTACTTTGATATATGTTCGTTTATATAATATAATGAAATAAAGGATTTCCCTCTTAGAATTATTTTAAGTTTATATTATTTGTTCTCTTCCCTATAATATGTTGACATGGTTTAGCACTGCGATAGAGTCACAACATAGAATAGCGTGTACGCTGTACAAGAAGCACTGCATGCAAGATCAAGGCGCCCCTTGCTTTTTATCAACCGCACCACTTACCACTGCATAGGATTGGTACAAATAAAACTACTTGTGAATCATCAAGGACTGCTAAGCTTTCGCTCTTTTGTTCAGCAGGCAAACTGTGTGTCATCGGAGTAAACTTTTCATTGTAAGTTGATCAGCTGTGCAAAGCTCTCTTCGATGAGCTGGACAGTGGTTCGATTAGTTGGCTGGGCGCTTGTCGTCCCCGCCCACGGCCAAAAACGGTGGGCGCGCGCGCGCGTCTGCCCAAAGGCCAGAACTGCATACCCGTTATCGCGTCGCTTGCGGGAGTCAGAGCTACAGAGCCCACGGGCACGTGTGTCCCCCCTTCACCCCGCGAGCACAGCAGAGTGTCGATTTCAGCTTCGTCGAGACCGGGAAGCTCAATGAGCCGCACGCGAAATTCAACATCACGGCTTCTCATTGCGAGCTTCGATTATTCAGCAAGAACCCCTCCCAACTTCCCGAGATACGCCTGCTGTGGCCGCGATGTCCGGGTATAATTCACCCGAGCGATTAACGACAGGTCGGCGCAAGCCAGCCGAGGCAGCGGCCGCAGTCGCGTACGCGCTCGTTCGCCAACAATCGTCTGATCAGTTCCACTGATGGTTGTTATTAATGGACCTCGAAGAGTTTGTTATTCGCTCTGCGCCGCAAACTCGCTTCTCGATCGACGGGCAGACATGTCATGATTCAGACATGATTGGACAGTTGTTTCGTCCGAGCTTCGTCAGGCGCGGTGCACTCCAAAACCGCGGTGGCCCGTCGCTTCGTACGCGAGTTCGAGAGATCAATAATTTATGTTCCGTTTGGAGCTCCAATCTGACAAGTCGGCTACACGGCAACGCTTGGAAACACATTGCGGCGGCACAGCACCGTGAGTGTTTTTTTTTTTTTTTTCGCAGCAGTCACTGCTTTCTGCGCAAGCCGCAGTGCAGGCTGACGATGTAGGAGGCGCACGTCATTCACCCCAGCACATTTTGCGCAGTGCAGCATAAAGGTTAGCCAAAAGAATAATATAAATGTGTACCTATTACGAGAGATGTACGAACGAGCATTAAAGTGACGAAAATTTCCCGAGAAAAAAAAAAAAAAAACAGAGCTCACGCTTCCGCAACCAGAAAATGACATCGCCAACAGCGCCGATGGGCGTCGAAGCGGGCTGGCCGTTGGCAGCCGCTGCGCGGCGCTGGCCTATGTCTCCGGGGAATTAAACGTTCCCTGATAGCGTTTGCACGCCCGCACCCCCCTAGGCCGGTGGGGCGGCTTTGAAATTTAATAATGCCAGACCGCGCGCGTTTTCAGCGAACGGCAGAATCAATCGGCCAAAAATTGGATTACCAATGGCGGAGTGCGACTGCAGCGCGAGACGCGCTTTCGACGCTTTTCGGGCCGAGAGCCGCCGCGTTGGCCGCATGCGGCTGCCAGCAGCAGGCGTATAAAACAGGTCCGTTTACAGACCATCAGGGTAAAGTGATACGCTGATGGGGATCATCCCGCGATGCTCGGAATTTTTGCCTTCGTTTCTCCCCCCTTTTTTTCATTATTTTTTTTCTCCCCGCTATGCCACTTTGCGGAAGCCACGCTACGGGCCAGAAATTAGGTTAGCCCGCGCGATATGTCCGGGCCCTTGTGTAATATACAGGCGTAGACGTGATAGTGAAATCTCGGAAGGCGCGAAGGGGTTGCGGTGGCGCGAGCGGGCGCTGCTCTTGTTTGGCGCGGACGCGATTACGCTCCCGCAGCACTCCGAAAAATGAGCGCCTGCGGGCGGCTGCCGTATCGCACCGGGTGCCATTCTTCCCTGCGGAAGCATCAGAAACGCAGCCCCCCTCGCGCTGTAGATACCTTGCCATCGCCCGCGCGGAGCTACAGGGCGGCTGTACACCTGCTTCTCCGCTCGCTTTAATTGAAGTGCTGGCCAATTTGCGCGCGCTGCGCTTTGAGACCCGTTTTGCAATAAATTGACGAGGAAGATCGGCGGCGCTATATGGCAGGGATGGTAACTAAAGGTGCGCTGCTCTGGAGACCAGACCCACTGACAGCGATCGCAAGTTCACGAATGCCACGAGACGAAGCCACAACGACGAGCATTTCTTGTTGGCGAGCTGCGTTGGCGAATATAATAAGCGAATATAATTCGGGCTGCACCACTGCCCTTCTTTTAATTCGTATGGTGACGACGACATAGGGTCGAAATTCTCGCACAAAGTACAGCGCATGTTAGGCAACGATAATGTACCCACCGAATACGCCAACGATAAGACGCTCTTTTATTTTTGCGTACCCTCGCTGTGAGGTCCCCCGGAGCGGCATCGATATCTTTTTCCTTCCGTCAAGAAACGCGTGGCGCAGTGTTCGCGAAGGTGCCGAGTGATATAATGATTAACATATGCATGTCTCGCCATGGAAGAACAGTTTTGATGGCTTTTGAGTTGTGTGCGCTCCTTCTAGATGCTCGGCACTAACTACCGCGCCAACGTATTCGTGTTGCATTGGCGGGAGCAGAATTCACGAACGGCATCGAATACTCTAAGTGAATTATTTCGAGCACGCTTCGTTTTTTCTTCTTCTTTCAAGGAAATCGAATGTAAAGGAGGTTTGCGCCGAATCGACCTTTATATATACGGATATTATAACATATCAAGCCAGACACATTTCATACTACCTCTCGCACCTTGACTTATGTAAACGCACACACGTATGCTTTGTTTCACATGTATGTGCATTGTTTCGTCATAGGAAAGAAATTTAAGAGATTATGCCTGGAACGGAAGACAACCGTGTCCCGGCACGTCAGGCTAACAACTTTGCGCCAATGCCAATGTGACAAACGTTGACGATTTGCTGGCCAGCTATTTTTGCGCACCACAACACCAATGAAGACACTATGAAATATGCGCTGGCAGTGAGGTGCGTTGCTTTGTTACATCGGCGTTTTCATGCCTCTGACACGTTGCGGGATGAATTCGTGAAACAAAGGCGAAAGAAGAAGAAGAAAAAAATAAGTGCACGATTGTGTGTGCGGCGTGGGGGCTGCGCGTTTAATGAGATTGCGGTGAAGTCTCTTATATAGCATTGCCTGGGCATATAAAATTTCAAGCGAAAAATTATGGCTCAAAATTTGCTGCTAATGTTTATGTGCGCGGCCAACATCGGAATGGATGAGAGTGTATGGAATAGCCTACACATGTTTTTGTGACTTTCTGTGTGCCTTATGGATTTCTAAAGTAACCTTCCCAAAAGTAACTTTGCAAGTTAAACTCAATATATGATGATAAATTCAGCCCATAAGTTTTACCGTCAGAATGTTTTAGGAGGCCTATATTAGTTTGAAATACACAGAGCGCTGAAATGATCTAAATTCAGCGATACGGGTATTCGCGAAACGAAAGAAAATTACCCATGAATTTAGACATTATGTTGCAACACAAAGGAATAATAAACAAACGGAAGAACCAATTCGATTGAATGGTTTAAATTGCGTGATAGACGAGCTCACTGTGAGTGTAAGTCACTTAAGCACTCAAAGTAAATATGTCGCGGCTAGCACACAGGAGAAACGGTGGTCATGAACGAAAGTAGGCGTGAAAATAATGCTAC